CCTGCTGAAGTGGAGGTGGTTCTACCTCTTCCCTGGGATCTGGTTGCTGAGCCTGGGTCTCCGCCTGGGGTGAAAAAGATTCAACCTCCTCAGGGGTCTGTGGATGCTGGGCAGGGGCCTCTTGCTGGGGTAAAGATTCAGCCTCCTCAGTGAGCTCTGGATGACGAGTTTGGGCCTCCTGCTGGGATGGAGAAATTTCAGCTTCCTCTGGGGGCTCTGGAGGTTCATCTGGGCCACCCAGAAAATCCCTAGGTAGGCTCTCCACAGGATAAAAGGCATCCATACTGGGATCTAAATAATCACCCTGCAACTGTTGTTCTAGACCCTGAGTGTTTTTTTCAAATTGGCCTGTAGTTCCAACAACAACTTTGTCAAGCCATTGATCCTGAATTAGATCTTTCTTCAGGTTTGGGGGAGAAACAATAAACTTCACTGGTTTTGAGCTCTTACTACCTACAGGTGCAACAAGTATATCAAATGATCGGTGACCTTCAGCCTCATCTAGACCTGTGTGTTTAGTCTTACTTTTGTGTCGAGAAGGCAGAACCAAGGGCTGATTCTGATTCCAATCTAGCACTGGAACTGCCTCTGGGATCTTTTGATGTTGGGTTTTCTTTTTATTCAGATCCTGATGTGGAACAGCAAACTGATCTGGCCCTGTAGGCAGCTCTGCAACGGAATCCGTGTCTGGGTATGGAGCCTCAGTCTCAGTCAACTCCTGATGAGGCGGGCCCAACATCTGGACTGGAGACGAGGACGTCAAGTAATTAAAGCCCCCGGCTTCTGCCAGGGGTGTAAGGGCATGGGGCAATTTGGGAGGGGGATCTGAGGCGTATGAAGACCAAGCCTCTGTCAGCCGCGGGGAGTTGGGGGTCACCTGGACGGGGCCCAGGGCCCACTCCGGAGGCTGAACTGCTTGGACTTGAAGCCACAGTTGTAGCCACGCGAGGAAGAGCCGTGGCAACCAAAGGCGCAGCCGGGACATAATGTGCGGCGGCTCCCAGGCACAGTGACCCAGGCCAGTGAGGAGCCGGAGCCACATCCTGTGTCCGAGCGCCGACGCGAGCGCTCACGTTAGCAACCGCGCGCCCCTCCCCCGCCTAACGTTCCACCCGTTATTTATGACATCTATAGTTACGCCACCTTTATTAGGTTCGTGCGGAGATCCAATCCGCGCCACCAGAGTGGGCCTTTTTCCCAGAATCCCCAGGGCGCAAGCCATCCTTCCTCTTGCAAAGGCGACAATTACCTCCTGCCGGGCCCTCTTCCCAACCCCTCTCTACCCTCCGTGGCCCCAAACAATGAGGCGGGATTTGGGCTGCAGACCCGAGTGGCCCCAACCTCCAGCCGCCCAGGGTCCGAGGGGGATTGGAAAGGATGCAGAGCTTCCTGAGGAAACCACATTACGTGGCATTCTGGGAAATTCAAAAGTGCCAGTCCAGTTCTGGCAATCTGAACTCTTCCTCCTCAGAGCTGAAGTCTGAGAGACATTCTTCCTCCCTTTGGCCACACGGCTGACAAGAAAAGTAGCAGACCAGCAAAATTAGCACCAGTTAGGGTGTCAGGAGGGGAACACTCCTTACAGTTATTCGAAAATGTTGTGTATATATGTCCATGCCAATCTCTCACTTTGACACAGCAGCTCGGTGGTTAGTGACCACCTAGAGGGGTGGGATAGGGAGGGTGCGAGGGAGGGAGACGCAAGAGGGAAGAGATATGGGAACATATGTATATGTATAACTGATGTACTTTGTTATAAAACAGAAACTAACACACCATTGTAAAGCAAATATATTCCAATAAAGATGCTAAAAAAATAAAAAAACAATAAAAATAAAATAAAATGTTGCCATTTCCTCCAAACTCTCAGTATTCACGTCTCATTATTAATTCACCACTCTATTATTAGGGGCTACCACTGAATCAGTGATGACTCCAGAACTTCTGTAGGAGGGGTTTGGGGCAGATAAGCAATTCATTCTGGGAAAGAAAGACTAAAACCAAGTGAATGGCCCTTTACATTAGCATGGGAAAACTTCTCCCACCCCACCTTTTCTCAACAGAGCCATTAATCTAGAAAAAACTACAGTGTCACTTTTCAGAGTTCTTCCCTGTGAGCACACATGGAGAAGACACTTAGAAAGTTAAAGTCAGCATGTTAAGTAATTTTCTTGAAATACTGTAACTAGCACCCAGTTTACTTTCTTCACAGTCCTTTTCATAATCTATTTAATTTTAGTCCTTTTTAATTGTCTGGTACACCTGTAACACCTAAACTCCGGGGCGGGGGGGGAATTTAAACTTTGAGGCTACTCAGATTTCAAACTTTCTGTATAGAATAAGTTCCCTATTGTATGTAGTGTAGGAGTGCCTCCAATTTCAGAAGCTGAAGGGTGTTGGGTAAAGGGTTAAGGGGATCTTTCTTTCCTCATCTGTGTATTCACGACACCATTTTATTATTTTTTTTTACTTTTTTCTTTTTCCGGTACGCAGGCCTCTCACCGCTGTGGCCTCTCCCGATGCGGAGCACAGGCTCCGGACGCGCAGGCTCAGCGGCCATGGCTC